GGCAGGCAGGGAGCCCCAGAGGCCAGTGGAGCCAGCAGGTGACAGGACCCTGAGGGCTGGCAGGACTAAGGGGCGGGGGGAGGTGTCCAGGAAAGCCCATGGCAGCAGGGCCAGCCCCTCCCTGTGGGAAAACTGGGGGCAAAACTGAGAGTGCTGTAGCACTCCCCTCCCCCTACTTCTCCTGCCCATGTGGAGGGTTGGCTGGGGGAGGAGTGCTCCCACCCCGTGTCTTCTGCCTGAGATCCAGCTGCTTCTGGGGATGCAGAGCTGCCCCCATCTTGCCAAAGGGCCTGTCAGCTCCCAGGAATGGGGGGACTTTCACTGTGATTCCAGGGGCTACTTAGTCACCTGAAAACTCTGGGTTTTGACACACAACTTAGGAGTTAGCTGACGGGAACACTGCATCCAATTCCAGAAGAAGAAAGAACGTGAAATAAATGTTAGACCCACTCTGCTCTGTTACTAACATGCTCTGACGTTCTGTGGAAATTCAGAGGTGAAAGTAACTTACGTTTCTTACAGGTGCTGTCATATTGCAACACCCTCCCCTCCCCAGGGGCAGGGGTGGGGCAGGAGTTTGGGGGAGGTTGTAATACGACTGTAGCTGTAAGAAATTGAAGAGGGCTGGAGTGTGGGAGGCTCGGTGTAGGGGGTTGTGGCTTGGGGATGTGGGGCTCAGGGCAGGGGGCAGGGATAAGGGGAGTTGGGACAGGTGTATGGGGATTTGAGGACTCAGGGCAGGGGATGGGTATATGGGGGGGCGCAGGTTGGGGGTGTGAGGAAGGGCTCAGGGGCTGAGGGTGTGTGGGGTGCAGGTGGGTAAAGGCACTATTTAGGGACAGCCCCATAGCCCTTCCTCACACCCCCAACCTGCGCCCCCCCATATCCCGATACCCTGAAGCCTGCCCCCCCAATTTGTACCAGGACACTGCTTGCTGCTCCCCTCCGTCCCTGCCAGGGGGAAAGAGGGACACTCAGAGCATGGGTCTCTGACTCCTCTGCCCCAGCCAAGAGGGGGAGGATGCAGGGATGCTGAGCATGACAAATGGGAAACACAAGCAACATCCTGGTACACATCTCGGGGGAAAGGGGCCTCCAGTGCCCTGCCCGCCCTAAGTGGTGGGGAGGATGGGGAAGGGGCTTGGGCTGGTGCAGCCCTGGACTGGTGGGGGGGGGGGGGCCCCCCGCCGACTCCTTAAACCTGCCTGGCTGTGTGCTGGTTCCCCAGGCAGCCTGCAGGAGAGCCCCAGGACCCCGGCTGGAAGTGCGCCCCATCTCCTCCCGCAGCCTGCTGGCCCCGCCTTGCCAGAGCCCGCACCAGGGCACAGGGCCTTACTTCCCCTCTGGGCCAGTACCTGGTGGGATGCTGGCTCGGTTTACAATGGGAATGTCGATCCTTACTTTGTCGCTAACCGCGAGAGAGCCGCTGTCAGGACGGCTAGGCTCCGGCTGACCTCTGGGAGGGGAGCGGGCTACAGCGGGGTTACAGACACGAACATCAGCATCTGGCCAGATCTGGCCACGAATCTCCATTTAGCTCAGCACCCTGCTGTGGCCAGGGCCAAGTGTGTGAGAGGGAATGAACAGAGCCGGCAACCCAGTGAGTCATCCCCTGCAGCTTCTGGCAAAGAGAGGCCGGGGACACCCAGAGATTGGGGCGGAATCCCTGCCCATTTGGACCTAACCTCCAGGAACTGAGCTGGCTCTTTTTCGAACCCTGTTACAGTCTTGGCCTTAGCCAGGAACTGGCTAAGGTTGACCGTGAAGATTAAAACGTTCATTGTTTGTTTTAAATCGGCTGCCTGATCATTTCTTTGGGTGACCCCTCTCTCCTGAGCTACGTGAAGCAGCCAGTAACATTTCCTTATTCCAGTTTTCCACTTCATTATGCCCATGCAGGTTCTGGGGCGGTGGCGGAGGAGATATTTGCTAGTCATCTGCCAGGGTTCGTTAGTGATCGTCCCGGAGACCATGGGGCAGAGCAAAAACTTCTTTGAAGAGATGCTTTTTCCCAGAGCAGCTTTGCTCTGCAGCTGGCCCAGAGTTCCTTTGGGTGGAGTTAGTGGGGGGATGAGCTCCTCTGGTGACTCCAGCCAAAGGGGGGAGGTATTGGCAGAAGTGGTAGAGCCAGGGGCTGGCCTTCCCAAAGGGGAACTCTGCCCACCACCAGGGCTGGATTATCCAATAAGCAGACTAAGCACGTGCTTAGGGCACCAGCAAAGCAGGGGCACCAAAAAAAAAAAAAAAAAGATTTTTTTGGAAAAAATTTGATATTTTAAAAAAAAAGCATCAAAGTTGTCATCGTGGGAAAAGTCAGAACTCCGCAGAATTCTTGTTCTCAGCTGAAAAGAATAGAAACCCCTCAGAAAACAACAATGCGTCAGGACAGACTGGATTCACTTTCCCTATTGTGTCTGGGAGCGGACGTGCTTCGTCAAGTCAGCTTTGATGAATGTATCTAGAATTTTGCAATCAGAAAATCTAGAAAGAAGCTATTTTAATTTCAGAAGACGTGTCAGTTTTGTGTCATTTCAAAAAATATCATTTTATTTTACGGTATAGTATTGTTTTTATTTTGAATTACATTTGGGGGGCACCATAATGTTTTCAGTGCTTAGGGCTTCTAAAAGTCTTAATCTGGCCCTGCCCACCACCCATGTTGTGCGAACGTGTTCAGAAAACTATCTGCAATGGCACCAGCATCTCTTTCTGGCTAGGTAACTGCTATTTTCCATCCATTTAGTTAGCTGCATGGCTCGGATTATATTTTGCCATGACTTTGCATTGACCAGCATCAAATTTCATCTGCCGTGGTGTTGCGAGATCCCTTAGTAACGCGCTGCAGTCCGCTCTGGGCTTCACTATCTTGAGTCATTTTGGGTCATCTGCAAATGCTGCCACCTCACTGTTCACCCCTTTTTCTGGGTCATTTATGAGTTGGTTGAACAGCTCTGCTCCCAGTGCAGATCCTGGGCGGGGGGACCCCGCTGTTGACCTTTTTCCAGTGTGAAAACCAACCATTTGTCTCCTGCCTTTGCGTCCTGTCTTTTAACTGGAGTGTCTGGCAGTGCTTTCAGGTGCATCGAAGGATCTTTAATTTAATTTAGTTTAATTTAATGACTAGCCTTTTGTTGTCTTAATCACCCTGCCTCTGTCTATAAACAACCTCCCTGCCCCAAGGATGGGAAGCTGGGAGCAGCACAGAACTCATCCCATTCCACACTCAAGCCGGTCTGGGGCTAAGGCGTATGCTGTGAGCCGGCCTCTGATAGAAAAGGAGTGGGGTGAGGAGCTTCCCCAGTGGCTTTCTGTCTCCCACTCGGATTGTGGGGATGCAAAGAGCCAGTGATGCTCTTCTGGACCATCTGAGTCCACTGAGCACATAGCATTTTACAAGCGGCCAGTAAATCCCCAGACTTACATCCCACATCCTTTATGCTCACATAAGCATGAGAAACGTCCAATTGCTGTTGGAAATTTGCTACTTCCC